GCGCCCGTACGGATGTCGCGGGGGGTCACGGGCGCGCCCATTGCTGGACGCTCCGGACACCGTTGACAACCTGGACGACCCGACCGGGGGACGCGCGCGCCGGCCGCTCGAGAGGAGAAACCACGGCTGGGATGGGCGACTGCCCCCGTTCCTGAAGCGAGGCCCCAACTAGGGGAACCTGTGCGCCACCAGTCACAGAGAGGCGGCCTGCCTGGCAGGGAAGAAGTGGCCGACGCGGGCTCGCACGCCACCAGAGGTGACGCGGCTCTCGCCTTCCACATAGAACCACCGGCCTCGACCGGGCCGCAATCGTGCGTGCAAACGTTCCCGGGTCCGGACCTGGCTGGCGGGGGGCCCATTTTGTATAGGGTGGTCCGTGCGTCGACCCGCGCGCCCATACAAAGTGGGCCTCTCAGATTCGCCCGTTGCTTGGGCCGCAAGGGGACTTCGTCACTCTGGCCGTCTCGCGCGCGCGGCTGCCTGGTCCCTATTACGGCGCGCGCGCGACTCCCTGCCTCCCTGCCCAACGGCGCCCGCCAACCGGTCACCCGCCGCGCGCGTGCGCGGCCCACTGCCCTCCCTAGGGTACGGGGCTGGCCTGCCGGCATATGTCGATACCCATGTGTCTGTGTCTGTATATATATGTGCGCGTGTGTGCCACTGGTGGGCCATGCCGACATCTGTCCATGCACGTGTACTTGCGTGCGTGTGTGTATATGCACATGTGTATATATATATATATATATGTGGCACCGGTGGGCCATGCCCACATTCATCGATACGTACATCAAGTGACCGGCTGGTCACTATAACGGCGCGCGCGGCCCACTGGTCCCTGTAATGGCGCGCGCGCCTCCCTGCCTCTCTGCTCGAGGGCCCCGGCCAACTGGTCACCGCCGCGCGCGCGCCCCCCTGCCTGCTGGCCTGCCCCGGACCGCTGCCGCCTAATGCTCGCGCGCGCGCGCGCGAGCATTAGGCGGCAGCGGTCCGGGGCAGGCCAGCAGGCAGGGGGGCGCGCGCGCGGCGGTGACCAGTTGGCCGGGGCCCTCGAGCAGAGAGGCAGGGAGGCGCGCGCGCCATTACAGGGACCAGTGGGCCGCGCGCGCCGTTATAGTGACCAGCCGGTCACTTGATGTACGTATCGATGAATGTGGGCATGGCCCACCGGTGCCACATATATATATATATATATACACATGTGCATATACACACACGCACGCAAGTACACGTGCATGGACAGATGTCGGCATGGCCCACCAGTGGCACACACGCGCACATATATATACAGACACAGACACATGGGTATCGACATATGCCGGCAGGCCAGCCCCGTACCCTAGGGAGGGCAGTGGGCCGCGCACGCGCGCGGCGGGTGACCGGTTGGCGGGCGCCGTTGGGCAGGGAGGCAGGGAGTCGCGCGCGCGCCGTAATAGGGACCAGGCAGCCGCGCGCGCGAGACGGCCAGAGTGACGAAGTCCCCTTGCGGCCCAAGCAACGGGCGAATCTGAGAGGCCCACTTTGTATGGGCGCGCGGGTCGACGCACGGACCACCCTATACAAAATGGGCCCCCCGCCAGCCAGGTCCGGACCCGGGAACGTTTGCACGCACGATTGCGGCCCGGTCGAGGCCGGTGGTTCTATGTGGAAGGCGAGAGCCGCGTCACCTCTGGTGGCGTGCGAGCCCGCGTCGGCCACTTCTTCCCTGCCAGGCAGGCCGCCTCTCTGTGACTGGTGGCGCACAGGTTCCCCTAGTTGGGGCCTCGCTTCAGGAACGGGGGCAGTCGCCCATCCCAGCCGTGGTTTCTCCTCTCGAGCGGCCGGCGCGCGCGTCCCCCGGTCGGGTCGTCCAGGTTGTCAACGGTGTCCGGAGCGTCCAGCAATGGGCGCGCCCGTGACCCCCCGCGACATCCGTACGGGCGCCCGCCCCGGTGCCGTTCGTTCCGGCTTAAAGATGCCCGGGAGGCCCACAT